CCCATCTACCCTGGTATCCTGCCCCCTTCCTGCCCCCTGGATCGGACTCATGGATCCCGCCCCCTCCATCACCCCTCTGAGGCCACCTACCCCGGTATTCTGCCCCCTCCATCACCCCTGTGGGCCCATCTACTCCGGTATTCTGCCCCCTCCCTTCCCCCTGGATCATCCCCCCACACCCATCTATCCCCTGGTATCCTGCCCTCTCCATCCCACCCACGGGCCCATCTACCCCAGTATCCTGCCCCCTCCCTGCCCCCTGGATCAGACTCATGGATCCTGTCCCCTCCACCTACCCCAGTATCCCGCCCCCTCCCTGCCCCCTGGGTCCATCTACCCCCATATCCTGCCCCCTCCATCACCCCCGCAGGCCCATCTACCCCAGTATGCCGCCCCCTCCCTGCCCCCTGGTTCAGACCCATGGATCCTGCCCCCTCCAGCTACCCCAGTATCCTGCTGCCTCCCTGTCCCCTGGGTCCATCTACCCCAGGATTCTGCCCCCTCCATCACCTCCCGGGCCCATCTATCCCAGTATCCCACCCCCTCCCTGGGTCCATCTAAGCTGGTATCCTGCTTCCTCCATCACCTCCCGGGCCCATCTACCCCAGTATCCTGCCCCCCCCCCGATCACCCCTGTGGGATGACGGGGGCCATGGAGCAGGGTCGCTGAGCCCCCCCCCGCCCTGTCTCCCCCGGGCAGAGTGAGCTGGACAGCGTCTCGGGGGCCCTGGGCACCACGGAGTCGAAGACGACCAAGCTCGCCAAGGAGCTGGCCAGCGTGGAGTCCCACCTGCAGGACGCCCAGGTAGGGGCTGAGCCCAGCAGGTGCCGGGTTGGGGGAGTGGTTTGGGGCGGGGGGACGGGGTTGGGAATGGGGCCTGGGTGGGGGGAGCTACGTGGGGTGGGGCCGGGGAAGCGGGGCCTGGGTGGTGTGGGGAGGGTGGTGTCTGGTAGGCACAGGGCGGCTCTGCCCCTGGGCCTGGGGGTCTGGCAGGGGGCTGTGGTGGGGTCTCTGCCCCGGGGGCGGGGGGGGGGGCGGGGGGGGGGGTCTCGGCCCGGGGGGGGGGGGGGGAGGGGCCTGCAACAGGGTCTCTGACTCTCCCCCTCCCTGCCCCAGGAGCTGCTGCAGGAGGAGACGCGGCAGAAGCTGGCGCTGGGCTCGCGGGTGCGGCAGCTGGAGGAGGAGAAGGGCGCCGTGCTGGAGCAGCTGGAGGAGGAGGAGGCTGCGAAGGCCAACTTCAGCCGCCAGATCCAGGCCCTGCAGCAGCAGGTGAGCCCGGCCCGGGGCCACAGGGTGGTGCAGCCAGCACGGAGCTGGCTCCGTGTGCACAGCAGTGGGTGGTGCCGCGGGGGCACTGTGAGGGTGCAGGGGATGCAGTGGGTGCCAAGTGCTGGCGCAGTGTGAGGGGCACAGTGGGTGCTATGTGAGGGGTGCCAGGGGTGCAGTGTGGGGATGCAGTGAAGGGGACGCAGTGGGTGCAGAGCACTGGTGCAGTGTGAGGGGCACAGTGGGTGCTATGTGAGGGGTGCCAGGGGTGCAGTGTGGGGATGCAGTGAAGGGGATGCAGTGGGTGCACAGCACTGCTGCAGTGTGCTTGGCACGGCGGGTGCAGTGTTTCCTGCCCCGGCCCCCTCTTTGTTCTGTCCCTGCTCGCGTCCCAGCGTCTCCCAAGGGCAGGGCCATTTGCTGGTTGGGGTGGGGAGCGTGTCCTGGGACTGGCTGCCTCTGGTATGGGGGAATCTGGGGGCACGTGGGGCCAGCCGGCTCCAGGGTGGGGGGCCCCACGCCCCGTCTGACCCCGCTACCGGCAGGTGGTGGAGGCGCGGCGGAAGTTGGAGGAGGACGCGGGCACGGCGGAGGCGCTGGAGGAGGCCCGGCGGCGGGCGGCCCGGGAGCTGGAGCTGCTGGGGCAGCGCTGGGAGGAGAAGGCGCAAGCGGCTGAGAAGCTGGAGAAGACCCGGGCGCGGCTGCAGCAGGAGCTGGACGACGCCAGCCTGGAGCTGGGCCAGCAGCGCCAGGCCGTGGCCAACCTGGAGCGCCGGCAGAAGAAGTTTGACCAGGTGAGGGCGCAGCCCCCTGCCCCCGATCCCTCGCTGCTCCCCACCCGTCCCCGCTGCTGCATACTGCCCCACCCCCCGCTGCTCCCCCCCACATGCTCCCCCACACTGTCCCCACCCTCCACTGCTCCCCGCCCCCGTAGTCCCCACCCCTGCTTCCTCCCTGCCCCTCGCAGCTGCTTCCGCCCCCCACTGCCCTCCTCCCCCCTTCTCCTCCCACACTGATCCCAACCCCTCCATGCTCCTCCTCCATCCACCGACCTCCCCATCCAACAGCCACTGACTTCCCCCTTCCCACGTCCCACCAACCCCACCCACCAACCCTCCGCTGCTACTGATCCTCCCAAATCCTACTCACCCCTCCCCTGACCCTCCCTCCGGCCCCCCAGCCTGGCCAGGGCTCCCCTTCCCCACCCCCCAGCCTGGCCAGGCCCCCCCTGACGCACTGGTCCCCGGCAGATGCTGGCGGAGGAGAAGCTGGTGTCGGCGCGCCACGCGGAGGAGCGGGACCGGGCCGAGGCCGAGGCCCGGGAGAAGGAGACCAAGGTGCTGTCGCTGACCCGGGCGCTGGAGGAGTCGCTGGAGCTGCGGGAGGAGCTGGACCGGCAGAACAAGCAGCTCCGGGCTGAGCTGGACGACCTGGTCAGCTCCAAGGACGACGTCGGCAAGAACGTAAGGAGCCCCGCCCGGACGCCTGGGTTCCCCCCTCACCTCGGCGCGGGGAGGGAGGCCTGGGCTGGGAGCCAGGATTCCTGGGTTCTCTCCCCAGCTCTGGGAGGGGTATGGGGTCTAACACAGCTGTATGTACCTGGGAGGGCCATGGCATGGTGCATGCTGGGAGCCCTGGTGTGGTGCATGCTGGGAGCTCTGGGCCGTGCCCCCGGGAGGGCCGTGGTACGGTGCATGCTGGGAGCCCTGGTGCGGTATATGCTGGGGGCCCTGGTGCGGTGCATGCTGGGAGCTCTGGGCCGTGCCCCCGGGAGAGCCGTGGCGCAGTGCATGCTGGGGACGGCGGCGCGGTGCATGCTGGGAGCCCTGGTGCGGTGTATGCTGGGAGCCCTGGTGCGGTGCATGCTGGGAGCTCTGGGCCGTGCCCCCAGGAGGGCCGTGGCGCGGTGCATGCTGGGGACGGCGGCGCGGTGTATGCTGGGAGCCCTGGTGCGGTGCATGCTGGGAGCTCTGGGCCGTGCTCCCAGGAGGGCCGTGGTGCGGTGCATGCTGGGAGCCCTGGTGCGGTGCATGCTGGGAGCTCTGGGCCGTGCCCCCGGGAGGGCCGTGGTGCGGTGCCTGCTGGTGATGCTGGCTCAGTGCACGCTGGGAACCCTGGTCCGTGCCCTCCCGCAGGTGCACGAGCTGGAGCGGTCGAAGCGGGCGCTGGAGCAGCAGGTGCAGGAGATGCGGGCGCAGCTGGAGGAGCTGGAGGACGAGCTGCAGGCCACGGAGGACGGGAAGCTGCGGCTGGAGGTGACCCTGCAGGCCATGAAGGCGCAGCACGAGCGGGACCTGCAGAGCCGCGACGACAGCAACGACGACAAGAAGAAGCTGCTCGCCAAGCAGGTGGGGGCGGCCGGGGGCTGCCGGGGCTGGGAGGGGGCTGGGCTGGCGGCAGGCCGGTGCCTGCTGGGCGCAGGGTGGGCACTGGCCATGGGTGACCCCTGCCCCCCCCCCCCCAGGTGCGGGACCTGGAGCAGGAGCTGGACGGCGAGCGGAAGCAGCGGGCCCAGGTGGTGGCGGCGCGGAAGAAGCTGGAGCTGGACCTGCAGGAGGTGCTGGGGCAGATCGACGCCGCCAACAAGGGGCGTGAAGAGGCCGTCAAGCAGCTCCGCAAACTGCAGGTGGGGTGTGTGGCTTGGGGCCGGGGGAGGGGCCTGGGGGCTGGGGGAGGAGCCGGGGGGACTAGGGGAGGGGCATCGGGCACCCAACTGGGCCACAGGGGAAGCCAGAAGGGGAGCAGTGCATGCTGGGAGCTGGAGTATTTTGTTCTTTCTCCTCCTGCATTATTGGACCCTGGCATCCGGGCACCCCAGCGGTGGGGCTTGCTCTGCGTTACGGGACCCCAGCGTCCGGGTGCCCCAAGAGCGGAACTTACCCTTCATTATGGGACCCCGGCGTCCGGGGGGCGGGAGTCTCTCACTTGCTCTCAACCCGTCCCCCGCAGGCCCAGATGAAGGAGCTGTGGCGGGAGGTGGAGGAGTCGCGCACGTCCCGCGAGGAGATCTTCATCCAGTCCAGGGAGAACGAGAAGAAGCTGAAAAACTTGGAGGCGGAGCTACTTCAGCTGCAGGAGGTGAGAGGGTGGGGCTCTTTCATGTGGGGGCTGGGCTAGTGCAGCGACATGAGGTGAGGGGGTGGAGCTATTGTGGTGGGGGTGGGTACGTGCTGTGGGGGGGTGTCAACGCCCCCCGAGCACAGCCAAGCCCCCCCCCCCCCTGACCCCTCCCCTGCCCGTTCCAGGAGCTGGCGGCGGCCGAGCGAGCCAAGCGGCAGGCGCAGCAGGAGCGTGACGACCTGGCCGACGAGCTGGCCAATGGCGCCAGCGGGAAGTGAGTGCCCCGCCCACTGCATAGGCCCCGCCCACTGCTGTAGGCTCCGCCCCTGGTGATGACGAGTGCCCTGGGCCCTGCCTGCTGCACAAAGCCCGCCCCTCCTGCCCGTGGTGGGCCCCGCCCCGCCACTCCCCTGCCTCTGGCCTTTTGTGAGCTCCACCCCCTGCTGCCATAGGCCCCGCCCCCTGTGCCTGCCCCGCCCACTGCCACGCCCTCTGTCTCTGCCCCATGCCTGCCCCACCTATGTCCCGCACCTGCCCCACCCCCTGCCTTACCCATGCCCCCATGTATGCCATGCCCATGCCCCACCCCATCCTTTCACTTGCCCTGCCCACTGCCCCATGCCCCGCCCACACCCCTTTGTGAACACCGTGCCCCCAGCCGCTGCCGATGCCACGACCATTATCCTCGCGCCAGAACCGCCCCTGACCCGGGCTCCCAGCCCCACTCAGCCCGGCCCCCCCTCCCTGCAGGTCGGCGCTGCTGGATGAGAAGCGGCACCTGGAGGCCCGGATTGGGCAGCTGGAGGAGGAGCTGGACGAGGAGCAGAGCAACACGGAGCTGCTGAACGACCGTTACCGCAAGCTGAGCCTGCAGGTGGGCGCGGGGGTGTGTGTGTGTGTGTGTCGAGAACCCTGCAGCCCAGCGCCCCCCGCCGAGCCCCCGCCCCTTCGCCCAGCGCCCCCCACCGAGCCCTGGCCCCGCTCCCCGTGGCCCAGAGCCCCCCGCCGAGCCCCCGCCCCACTCCCCGCCG